TGCGTTGGACATGTAGTGGTCCGGGGTACTGTATAGCTTTGCGAGACACCTGTAAGGTGTATGTGTTATGTTCAGTCATAGTCTTGGAATTGGGGAGGTTGAGCAGCAACTGTCGTTCTGTTTCTCTTTTTAAATGTCAGTATTCTATTCAAACAAACTCTGCAGATTACAGCGTGGTTGATCGATACGGGCTCAGCATACTATTGCGTAGAACAATAAACTCCCAACACAATCGTGACACTTGTACCTTGGCCTAATCAATCGAAGTCTTATAATTCACTTCGTCAGCACGGTATCCTTGCGGAGTGTCTTTGTTCTCAATGGCCGTGCGAAAATGGCAAAAGGAGGAGCTTGAATCAATGGACAAAAGGAACGCTGATCGATGCCGCTGGAGGTTCACTCCACTTGATGTCCAAGCGCCTCTCAGCGCTGGAATTAGTCCGCAACGACTTTGGACATGCTGGGGCGTGACAGGGACATGAGAAACAAACACAGGACAGCGCCACATGAACGTTTCCCCTGGGGCTTTAGCCACAGCCTAGATTTTCTACTAGATTTTCTATAAAAGTCATGAGAAGCCAGCAACTTATGCCGAATGAAGCAAAATTAGTCATGTTTGTGGAATTGCTTTATACGCCTACCAAACGTCCCATACCTGTCTGTGTCCAACCACAATTGCATCATTCTGCCCAATGCAGCCTGTGGCCAGCCCGTATGAGAATACATGAGCTTACATTGGGACGCGTTCACACTGACCCCCGATGGCACATGCCTCCCACCTCCCTGTTTATCACATTTATAGCAAGTCTTAAGGCGCGCCTGAATAGATGTTGACGACCATACGTAGTATACAAATAAAGCAAGCAGATTTAGAAGGTAGTTCTTTTACGCAGGCAGTAAATTTGACACACCTGCGGCGCACTTAACTGTGCTTGTAGCAATTTTTCAGCTAAGCCTCCCCCCCCCCCTAGTGGGAAGTTCCGTACTCGCCCCTTGGCTTACAACCAAGTCGTGAACTTTATGTCGACAGAGCTATACTGAAGCGTCTCGAAGCCGAGCAGCGCGCTCGCGGACTTTCAGGTCCCGCTTCTGGTGGCGAGATAAGGGCGTTGAGGACCATGTACAAAGCCCGCACTCATGACCACTATCACGATATCTGGACCGCAGTGGAGGGCTGAGCAGAGATACTTTCGTGTGCAGACTCACCACGCTGCTAACGTCGCACACGAAGAACAAACACTACACACGAACAGTCAGTGGTGGAAGAACCCAACGTCATGGCGGGGCGCCGGGAGATCTCGACGTGAATGACGCCGAGACACCCGCCGCCGACCGCTGGGCGACCTTGGCGGCCCACCTCTACGCGACCTTGAGCTCGTCCGCGTCGTCGTCGAGCGTCTGGAGCCAGTTGAACACCATCATGTTGCGCTGGTAGCGCGTGAGCGGCTGGCCCCGCTCCCGATCCACCTCTCGCACGGTGATGCCCCGCCGATCTGCCCGGCGCGACGGGCGCAGGGGCGGCGCGGGGCGGGGGCGGGGGCCGTCGCCGAGGTCGGTGCAAGAGGCAGGCAGGCCGCCGCTCAGCAGCTGCTCCAGGCTGAACTCGCTCTGCGATAGCCGTCGCAGCGCCTTGAAGGCGGTCTGCAGGCGCCGCCGGATGTAGTCCTGCCGTACCTGACAGATGGAACGGACTCTGGTTAGATGCCGCTGTTGGATGTGGATGGACACGTCCAGAGTTCATAAAGTCAGGTGTTCGAAAAGGCCAGAATCCCAGCATCCGGCGTTCATAACATCCAGAAAACGTCCAAAACCCTTGGACAGAGGAGAACCATAAAATCCAGTGTTCATAAAGTCAAGCGTGCGTGAGATCCACGGTTTGGGATAATGTCCTACTTCCTCGCAACCCTTCATTTAATGGTTCGGATATTGCCCGATAGGGGGCTATCGGAGTCGATTTCGCCCGCCTCGGCCGACGAGGGACGTCATGCGGTACAATGCTGCCCAGTTAAGCCACTGTGCATGAATATGGACAACGTTTTGTTTGAGCGTACAAACTTCGCCGCGTCAGCACGCTCTTGGCAGCAGGCGCATTAAAAAATTCAAAACTTTGATCCATGGCTCGTGGCATCGGATATACCTGGTTATTCGGCAGTAGCTGCACGGTAATCGTAGGGAGCACTTGTCGGACTGCCTGCTGTTTGGTATTGTGGGCTATGGATAAGATACTCGCGGTATTTGGTTCCGTTATTTACTGTATGTGCTGGCGGTGTTTCTCATTTTTTAAACGAATTGATGACTGGTGTGTAATGCCGACTGATTTGATGTCTGCTCCAGGTAGGCGCGCACATAGGTGTCCAGCTCCTGGCACGCTAACCTATATCGTTAGTGTTGTGTTTTTTTTACTGATTCCCCTCCCTCCTCCAATTGCAAATTATTTCACACGTTACTGCAAACGGGGCTTATTCTGAATTTTGCATGCCTTTACTCCCAAAGAGAGGGGGTGGGCGCTGTCTCATTACCTGAATCCGGATAAAACTCCCTGGTAAGGCATGTTCAATGGTCCAGCCTACTCGTTTCTTCGCTTAAATACGTTTTGAACGGGCGTGGTTGACCAAAATGAGTTGGTTGGCTGAGCGATGAAAATACAACGAACGGTACCGTGATAATATGCCGAAGAAATGGTTTCTCCCCGAATTTGGTTCACTTTCTCACGAATCTTTAGGCTGCAACCCAAGTTACGGGGGGGGGGGGGCAAAACCCCTGCAACTGAATAGGGAACCGTACTCCTGGTTGCAAGTAAATATGAGGTAAAAGGACAAACGTTGACTGCAATGTATCTAACTGCCTGCCAAACGTCATGCAGAACAGTACGCACGTGCCGCGCTTAAAGGCGCTGTTGATTCATTATCTGAACAGCGGGACCGAGTGTATGTCACTGAGCTAGTTTGCGATAGATAAGCCGAATGAATTGAGAGAATTGCGGACTTGTATTTACCATCTACTTCATCAATCTTGACACACTTTCATCCTTTTGGGTTTCAGAGCCTCCTAAGTATAGAATTTGGGGTCCAGCAACACCAGGCTGGAGTTTATCGAGACGAGTGCAGTTCGCGCGGGGGGCGATGGTGGCATGGTGGTTAATGGTTAGGGTGCTCATCTCTGGACTTTTCTATCCTGGGATGTAGCCCTGGCCACACCACTACCGCTTCCCATGTACCTAATGTCTGATAAATGCGTAATAGAGGAGTTCCGCTTCGAAATAGCCATAGCAACCGGTGAGACGTAAAGCCCCAATTATTACAGCCTGATATTAGGCCCCAGTCGGTACTACAGCCCGTCCCGACAAACAAGCCGCCGCCCGCCAAATTTGCAGACAATGCTTCCACTCAATCACTGTATATATGTGAGAATAATAATGTGCAATCAGATAGAAGCGGAGCTTGGAAACAGGCCAGCCCAGAGGTGCCCAGCTCGACGGTCCGGTCGGCAGCTACGCCCCGCGGCTGGCCGGCAGAGGAGGCGGCCCGGCCGCAAAAAAGAACGCATTCACGCGCGCGGCGTCCCTCGCCCAAGAATCGAACCCCGCCACATGCGCGCGAGGCCTGTCAGTGGGGCAGCCTGAACACGGTCGAAACACTGCAGCTCAGTCGGGCACGCCGCCATCTTCGCGTCAGGGCCCGAGGCCCCTGACTCGGTTGCACTCGGTTCGCTGCGGTACACATCCCGGCGGACCGGACATCCGGACGTGTCGGATATCTCGGGATCTCGCTCGTACTGAACCGGAGCACCCCCCCCCCCCCTCCCTCTCCCTCCTTCTTGACGGGCGCCTTAATGGAAGGGCCTCATGTCAGTCAGGAACCAGCACCGAACAGGGTCCCTCTGCCCGTTTTCTCTGGAGCCCAAATGCGTCGAACTGGGATCCCTGCGCTGTTTATTAAACCCGTACTCTTGGGACCTTTTTGAAACGGCGGGTGGCCCCGCGTTGATTCAGGGTCAACCATCCTGGTCAAAGTACCTCCGGCGTCAGACGGGGACTAATGTATCATGTGTAGTAATAGTAACCGATTGGAAATATGAAAGGGGTCGGAAAGGTCGCTCAGCCCGGATCGAGAAATGCATGGGTCTCAAATCTTGGCTGAAAACTCTATTGGGGTCTGGTTGTTGAAGGGGGAGGGGTCTGGGGGGTGGAAGAAAGTCAAGGGGTCCAGGAACCCCTTGGGAGGAGCTTTTCGGAACCGTAAAGTTTAAAAATGACCATACTGAATAACAGCAAAAATATTGCCAAATACAAATTCTGACAATACCGTAGCAGCGTCCAGCAGTCCAAGAAGCCCTCTCTGGTAAACTCGTGGACCCCCTCTGGCCGCTCAGTCGGGACATACGGTTAAGTCATGCATCAGATTTTGCGCCAGGTAGTGGTCCAAAATCAGCCAAGACAACGCGGATTGTAAGTTAAGCCGATCGGATTTGCTATAAAAAATTAGCTTCAGTGCGTGTCCCCGTTCACTAATGACAGTCAATGGCAGCAAGCAGGGCAATGCGAATACACCTTCAAAAATACTTATGTCTTAAAAACACTGCCACGCCAAATGCTAACATGAATCATATATGTTTTCGTGATTGACGGTGATAAGTTATTTAGATGACTCTGTCGGTGAAAATGGCAGCATATCGTGCAATTTTCTGTCTCTTGTGAAGATTGTCTAGCCTCCAGAATATCTGGCAGAATTATGACCAGAGTGACATAACGGGAGAGTTTTGGCACCCACAGATCGGAGTGCAAAAGTGGGGAATCATGTAATGTTACGCTCAGGAAACATGTGGCTGATAGTAATATCCTTGTGCATGTGCGATGTACGTATCTTAAGTACCTATGCTCGCTGTAAGTCTTAACCATCGCCCTGACTCGCCGTTTTGCATAAATTGGACTGATAGGGGGAGACGGGGTTGACGCGACCCTCCCCGGCGCTTCCAAGCTTGTAAAGATAGAGCTTGCCGAGAACAGCAGTACATTGTTCTGAACGCGATCTCACGATTGGTACTAGTTCTTATGTTGTTGACAGGTCAAATGTCGAATTTTACAGAAAACCGCACTTTGTAGCTTAATTTTATGTTAACGAGAACAAGCCTTGCAGTGACACGAACCTTAAACTGGCGCGTGTCTTGTTCAATTATGAATACATTCTGTAGTGCTTCTCTTGCGCCCCCGCGCCTGAGCCAGCCATAGTTCGCCGTCGAGTGCTCATCACAAACTGCCGCTGCTCCGAGACCAGAAAATCTAGGAACACGTTTTGGTATCAAAACACGTGCCATTAACACCGCCATCATGGCAAGGGCTAAACGGCATGCTATTGCTGCGTTTGGTATCGGCAACGATTTTTCGTGAAACGATATTCCTCATTTTGTAAATAACTGAAGCCATAGCGGGCAAAACAGGAAAAACAATGCTTGCTTCCTTCCATAATTGCTTGCTCCTCGCTTGACTTCACGCTGACCCGTCCCAAAAGACCAAGTCTCTCGCAGCAAGTTGTGCTCTGTCCACGGGCTGGCGCCGAAAGGTTCAGATGCTCGCGAAACTTTCCCCGTCCGAACAACAAGAACATCTTCATTGACGCGTCAGACTGTTCGCACGCGCTTGGCGACTCGCAGGTTGGCGCGGATAAAAATGGCGCGAACAATAAGATGATCGACCAAGGCAACCGATCGCTGTTATCGCGTAATGCGAACTGCAGTGAACGCACAAGATCGAAGGAAATATGACAAAGATACGGGTATGCAATTTGAATATGATCAAAATAGTTTTCAATATGTACAGCTCCTTCCATCGTTTCGCTAAGTCTTTGATAATGGATGTAGGAGCACACAGTGCGCTTACGGCAAGCCCAATGTGTGGGGCATGCTACAAATGCTCTTGAAACGGGAAATACAAAAGTGTAGGCGTTAGGCGACAAACAACCGATCGCATATAGGAACACCGAGACAAATGTCAGAGCATCATGTTATTGTCGGTATTCAGGATACGTGGCCGGTAGGCAGTAGGGTGGCGGCAGATTCTCCAATTTCATTTGATTTTTGGCCATTTCAGGCGGAGGCAGGTTTTCTCTGATGTATGTCTCCGTTAAGATGATAGCATACTGTGCATTTGTGTTTCTTCTCACATATTTTTTCTGGTCTCCGTAATATACAGTCTAGTGTGGACGAAGTTATATAACGGGAGATATGTGTCACCAGAATTAGAGAGTGAATGTGCAAATTCACACCACGTGATGCTTAGAAATATGTGGTTGATGGTGATATCCCTTCTGCATGTGTTATGTCGTACGTATGTGTAAGTACCTACTCTCGCTGTCTTACACATTATCCTATCGCTGCATTGGATATCGGCAAGGTGTTTCGTGAAAAGTGGTCCTTATTTTGTCGACAGTTGCAACCATGTGAGGCAAGAATGTTTGCTTACTTCCATATTTACTTGCTCCTTGTTTCATCACACTGAGCCCGCCTCCGAAAACCAACTCCCATGCGACAAGTCGCGATCTGTCTGGGGTCCGGTGCTAAACGACTACGGTGCTTGGGAAGCTCAAAGTGGGAAACGTCCCCGCCCGACCTATTATGAATGCCATTAGAACATTTTCATCCACGCACCGAACTTCACGCGCTTGACAACAGGCAGACTG